TTTTTTTTATATTAATGCAGTTTCAATCATTCATGCCTGTGGAATAAATATATATCTTTTTTTTTTGTGTGTGTGTGTGTGCAGTTTCTGTTTGACTCGACTAAACAAACAACGATTTTGAAGTGTGGGCATACGATGCATGTGGAGTGTTATGAAGAGATGTTCAGCCAAAACCAGTACGTTCATTCTTCCTTCTTCTCTGTCCCATTTACATGAAACAGATTTTTTTTTTTTTATTGATGATTTTTTTCTCTATTCGCTTTTGGAAATAAACCTTTCATTTTTATGTTCTGATTTTTTTTTATTCTTTTTCCAGATATCGTTGTCCAATCTGCTCCAAGTCAGTCTTGAATATGTCTAGAACCTGGGAAAGATTAGACCAGGAGGTACATTTTTATCTTACTTTCCTTTTCATCTAAAACAGAATATGTTTTATTGAAAAACTTTGAAGGTAGCCGAATCGGATATTCTTACATAATTTCCATGAACAGTCATGTTTCGGGATCGTAAATTTTCTGTAAGAAAAAATATGAAAAAATAACTTGATATATGAAAATAAGGATTCTTTTATAGTTAATCTAGACTGATATTTTTCGTTTTGTTGTTTTTTGGATTTATTTTATTAAAAAATAGGTCCAAGCTACTCCAATGCCTCAGGAATATCGTTATGAAGTAAGTTAATTTCACTTTCATTTTCCTCGATTTTTTGCATCAACTTCATTCTATGTCTGCTTGTGTTTATATGTCAACTAGAACTAATTTTCAAGTTAATGCTAGCTATATGTATATGAATCTAATCTTGTTTCTCGAAGCTAATGCTTTTGAAAGGGCCAGATTTTTTTTTTCTCCTTTCATTTTTTCGGGTAAACTTCTATTGTGATTTTGTATATGATTATATCTGAAGTTCAACTTAACGGGGACAGGTTCAAATACTTTGCAATGACTGCAACAATAGAAGCACGGCATTTTTCCACATTTTCGGCCACAAATGTGGGAACTGTAATTCGTACAACACTCGTGTGATCACAAATGGGGATAATCAGCAAAGATAGCTGGTTAGAAACTGTGTCATTCAGCAAATTATATTCACTGGGGTCATCCTTTGAGTATGTAACAAGCAACTTTCTGGTCACTATGTGCACTTTCACCATTTGATTTGCAGACTTTTGGTTCCATTAGAAATTTCAAATTTATGTCAATATTTTGGGATGTTACAAAATCTACTGTCATTGGGGTATTGCTTGACGCCTTTATAAATTATAAGTAAAAAAAAAAAAAAAAAAATACACCTAATTTGTGATTAATTTTAAGTAGTAGAAGTGAATTTTGGAAATTAAAAAAAAAAATAATTGTATTATAAAATAGAATAAGAAGTCTTGAATATCATCAATGCAATAATGACTTGGATGCATATATTGAGTTCTCATAGCCTAAAAGAATAAAGAAATAAATAAAGTAAAATAAGAAGTTTGTACCAAAAAAAGAAAAAAAAAGTAAATTAAGAAATACTGAAAGTTATAAAATAATGATTTGTGGTTTGTCTTTTGAAATTTCTTTAGTTGAAATTTCTGGATTTAATTGTGACTTACAATACCAATTTCTATCTTTTAGTTTCTGGATTTAGGTGTGACATATTTGTCTTGTGTAATTTTCAAATCTCAGTGTTGTGTAACATTTTTTTTTTTT